AATCATGAGTTAGTTTCTCAGAAGTCAGAACCAAAACATTATAATCACCACATGAACAAAATTTYGGAAAGTATTAGCTCACTTCCCCCTATGTTGTAATGGATTTGTCGGTGGTTTTAAAACCTCCTCTATCAGACACGTTTTAAAACCATGATTCCAAGTGTGTGGACAAAGGGACAATATTTAATACAATCGGCCTGGGATGTTACAGTGGGTAATTATAAATTGGTTAAATTAAKGTACTACAAAGTCAACATGCACAAATTTTTACCGTCTCCTTACTTCATTTTATCATAAATTGGTTAATAATCACTCACATATGTTGACTTTTTAGAGAAGGAATTTTTAGAGAAGATTTTAGAAGTCTTACTTCATTTTATCATAAATTAAGGTACTACAAAGTCAACATGCACAAATTTTTACCGTCTCCTTACTACAAGGAAAAAGGGTTTTAGAGAAGGAATTTTTAGAGAAGATTTTAGAAGTCTATCTAAAGATATATTATAGAGAAGAAAATAAATGACAAAAATAAAAAATGTAACTAAAGGTAGGATGAGTTTTAGARAAATATTTCAAACTAAATTATACACTACCAAAATTGTCTCTAAAAACTTCAGATAATTTTTTTTAATGAAAAGCTTCTAAAAAATATGAGGAGGGGCTTTAGAGACSTTTTTTTAAGATAAAAACCWTCCCTAAAGTGTTTGTTTTAATTATTTATCAATTTTATTAAAAAAAATACTATTTTTTTTTATAACCCATCGCTCCCATCCCTCGACTCTCTCTCTCCCCTGTCGCCTTCATCGTTTCTCTACCGATTTCGCCATTGCCTTCATCAAATTCTCTACCGATTTCGCCATCGCCTCCGTCGATTTCTCAGCCGAGGTCCCGTCGTCGTGTCTCCATCATGATTTTTCTCAATTTGGTTTCGTTTATGTACATAAATCAAGTATGCATTCTGCCCTAATCTGGTTCTGTCTTTCTCGCATAACCTGCTTCTTCATGGTCTGATTCTCCATTCGGTTAGTCATTTCATGTATCTGTTGTTAGGTTGAATGCATTTAATAAGGTGAGCATATTTAGGTTTAACGTGTCTGTAGCATCCGATTGGAATTGAAAAATTCACTTACAGAACCATCCCCTTCCCAATCCCTATCCTATCTGCTTTATTGGTTGTAGTGATAGCAGTTTGTTATATTCTTATTACTATAATTTTTTAATAGCTAACACAATTGGCGAGTTTCCTTTTATTATTACCGGCTTTTACTTTAGGGGGTTCTGGTGGTGGGATTGCTTATAATAAACAAGAATTTGAGGCAATTTGCAAGTCTAGGCTGGCAGCCAGCGTGACATCACAGGTTTAAGTGGATAAATCTTTGTTAGGTTGGAAAGAATATGAGCTTAAGGTTATGAGGGATTTGGCTGACAATGTGGTTATTATATGTTCTATTGAGAACATTGATCCAATGGGTGTTCATACTGGGGATTCAATCACAGTTGCTCCTGCACAAACTTTGACCGATAAGGAGTACCAACGGCTTCGTGATTACTCTATAGCTATTATAAGGGAAATTGGAGTTGAATGTGGTGGTTCTAATGTACAATTTGCTGTGAATCCTGTGGATCGTGAGGTTATGGTTATTGAAATGAATCCTAGAGTTTCAAGGTCCTCTGCTTTGGCATCAAAAGCTACTTGTTTTCCTATTGCAAAAATGGCTGCCAAATTATCTGTTGGTTATTCTTTGGATCAGATTCCTAATGATAATTCTAACACTAATTTATATGGTATAGATACCCAGGTTTGCATTTGAGAAATTCCCAGGATCTCAACCGGTGTTGACAACCCAGATGAAATCTGTTCGTGAATCCATGGCAGTAGGGTGCACGTTTCAAGAATCT